TTTCTTAATGCTCAGTGGAAAATATCATGATGGCATTTCTTACCTTGGGATCCGGAAAGAAATCAGTATACACCAGAAATCAAAGGAAATAAACAACAACAACAACAACAATAATAATGAAAGACATCACAATGTGAAGGTACGATACTTAAAAAAACGACATGACATTCATCAAAGAGTGAAGGCGCGATACTCGAAAACTATCATTTCGGATTATTCTAATATCTTTCACAAATAAAGTTTTCCTAGCAGTTCAAATAGTTCTTTGTGTTGCACCTTATCAAATGCGTTCACGTAGTCTATTGACCATAGTTATAAGCCTTTTTACATTTCTACTGATAGTATTCTGCACATATCTGATAGTATTCTGATCTATATCCTAATTTTTTTTAATTAAACCTAATTTTTCTTAAAACCTTAATTTTTTTAAAAAACATTTCTCTTCTACATTTGATACTATTCTGCTCATAAAAGATAGCATTTCTTGTTCCAGTGTCGAAACCACATCGTTCTTGTTCTATTTCTGTTTTAATTCTACTACGCGTTTTATTCATCAGGATCTGGATAATAAGCTTAGTTACGCGGCTCACTAAGCTGATTGTTTGATGGAGCTCGCATTTATTTACACCTGGCTTCTTAAGCAGTGCTATGAAGATGGATCTAGTAAGGACTTCCAGTATGTCATCACTGTCGTATATTTCATTTATTATTTCAGTAATCTAGACCTGAAAGCTTTTCTATTACAATCCCATCTTGTCCTGCTGCTTTTTTTTTCTTTTCATCTTGGCTGGTGTTGTTAAATTGAAGTGAGTTGAAGTTCCGAACGAAAATCGAACTCGTGAGTTTATCTCCCAGGAACGACGACTTAGGCTAGGAAAGGTTTCATGACATAGTTTTACTTTATCTTATTTTATTGATTTTATTTTAGCCCCAATCACAAATATATTAAGTAGTTTTTCCTTTTCATATATTTCATATTGTTTTTTATCTGGAAATGTTTGGCGGTTGCAAAGAATCACGGGTTGAGAAGCCAAAATCCGTGGCCTAATCACGAGGTGAGAAGCCAGAATCCGTAGCCTAAATAGATGTCAATTGCTGTTAAAAAAATCAACAGAAAACAAGAACCCCCAAAAAAAAAAAAAAACACAAAAAAAGCAAAAAAACTAGCCCCCCTCCAACGAAAAAAACAAAAAACAAAAAATAAGAATAAAAACTGAAAAAAAAAAACAAAACAAAAAAACAAAAACAGAAAAAAAAAACAAAAAAAAAAAAACGCAAGGAACAAATGTTAATACGCACCTAGAAATTAATTCAGTTTGTCTGAGTCATGGCTTTCTAATTTTCATGAGAATGTTCAAGCGAACCAAGCCTTGGCCGATTTTCGATATGTTTTAGGTTGATGCATAAATTCACAGCATATTTTTTTAAGTTGTTCTTTATGCAAATTCATAGCATCCATATTTACCCAATTTCGGCTTTCTATGACCTTACGAAGACCTTTCAAATAAGTTCAATATGCTGACATAAATAAATGATTCCGGTTTCAAATCGATAAATTCTTCAATAATTTCTATCTAAATTTCAGAGATGAAACGTTATCATGATTTACTTTATTTAGATTCGGTTTTATGTCCTCATCTTTGTTGTTTTTATAACACCTTTACGACCGGCGTTCTTCAGGTGTCAATCAATCTGGGAAAACTTCAAGAAGTTTCGAAATGAATCCTTTATTGTTTCAGTTGTGCGTTGTGGTGTCACGGATTAAGGCTGAGAAGGTGAAATCGGAGAGGTGAGTTCGAACTCCAGTTGGATTCGTTGCATTCGCTTACGCGCAAATAGTCTTGGAAAAGGTATGAATCCGTCTTTATGGGTTGAATAGCAGGAGAGACCGTGTCCTAAGACTTTGTTGTCAGTCGGTCTACCACAGAAAGAAACTTCAGACGTCACTTCCTGAGGTTAAGTATAACATTCCTTTGTGTTTTCATTTTCTCTGAAACTTCGTCGTTGCTCACATGTTCGATCCATAGTATTCTTCGAATTTCTGTTGCTTCAAGTCTATTCTACATCTTTGAGTAGATTGTCCAGAACTCACTGCCATACAAGAGGACAGATATCACGTAACAGTTTAATACTCTTTTCCTTGTTTCTAGCGACGTTTTTCTATTTCTTAGTACTCTGCTTAGCTTTAGGAAGGCATCTTTGACTATCTCAATACGCATTGGATTTCAGTGTGACACTTTTGCCTCCTCTATCAAAACACTTCATAGATATTTAAATTTTTGTGCTTGGTTGATTTTCGTATCTCTGATTTGCATTTCGCAATTTGGACTCACCCATTTCCCAACAACCATATAGTCTGTCTTCTCGCAGTTGATGTTTAATCCTTTCTTCTCGCTTTCCAGTAGTGTCCTTCTGTAGGAGTTTTTGTAGCTTCCTTTCTGTGTCTCCTATTAACACTGTGTCGTGTACGTATTTAAGATTATGGTTGCGAATAATGAAT